TTCCTTGGTTATTGCAGGTTTATTTGCAAATTTGCAGATTTATTGCAGGTTCGTTGTCTTCTTCCTTGGTTATTGCAGGTTTATTTGTAAATTTGAAAGATAATGGTAGGGAGACTAAAGTTTTAAACTAAATTAATAATGTGTTACTAATAAAAAATAAGCACGTTAACACATCATCAACAATCACACTATTTTGTTTACAAAATTTGATCTCCCTAACACTATCCATATTCGAGATAAACATATCGGCCCTTACCCAAAAATAAACCTACAATGGGCCCCTATTTTTATTTAGTTCTTTGTTGTCTTGTTCCTCAAGAAAATTTGCTGGTTTATTTTTGTGCAAGGATAATACTAGGAAGACTAAATTTAGAGACCAATTTTGAAAACTAAAGGATATAGAAATTGATAATTGGTTAATATTTAAACGTTGATAACTGTGCTTATTTTTATTGGTGACAGATCATTTAGTTTGCAAATTTTATCTCCAAATTTAGTCTCCCTAACATTTAAACTGCAACAATAAGATATTATTATTGGTAGGGGTGGGCAAACGGGTATAGGAAGCGCAGGTCGGGGCAAGTACGAGCAGGTTCTTAATTTTAAAAATGAGAAACGGGACGGGGCGGGACAGGGCGGGGCGAGCCTTTGTAATTTTTGGTTCAAGCCAATTCCCGAAGTATAGGAACCACAGGTACCCGGACCGGCCTGTTTGTAATTGAAATGGACGGACGGGATTGAAGAGATCATCTCTCCATCCAATTTTAACCGTTAGTTTTAGGTTTCCTTGTCCTCGACCTCGACGCTGTCACTCGAGTCCTTGAACCTGATTCTGTCTCCCACACTCTCTCCACAGCCAGTGCCTTATTGGCAACTTAATCGACGATTGTTGGCGTTGCGAGGACTGGAGCAACAACCCAATCTCACCAGTCACCCTTCTCAAGTCTCACCAATCACTACAACCAGAAACCAAATCTCTCTCTTTAACCCCTTGGAGTTAATGACATGTTAATGACATGTATATGAGAATTCAAATCATTCTAATTTTTTAAATTTTGTTGTTTTAATGCAAATGAAATCCGTCTAGGTGTGAACAACTACTGCCTAAAAGCTTATAATTTAATATCTAAAAATTAAGAATTATATAAACTAGATGGCTAGTTGAACAGATTTATTTTGCTTATTCCTAGTTGAACAGATTTATTTTGCTTACTACCTTGCTCCAACGGTTTATGTATCTTTACTTGAAGTAAACATGTCATAAATATTGACTAATTGGGTTTTATATTGTTCTTTATTACAAGTGACATTGCTTTAAACTAGACTAAGAGGAGGAAGAGGATTTGAAACGCAAATGGTTGGAAAGTAACTTAACTAAATAAAGAAATGTAACTTAATAGAGAAACCTTTAGTTCAATTGTTCCAAATACAATCGACAAGAAAAGCATTTGTAGCAGTAATTGGTGAAGACCCTATCCCAAATACATTAGTTTCGTGTAGCCGTGACAAAGTAATTTCCTCTCCTTTATATCTTGTATTGTATGTAAGGTAAATTTAGCTCAGACAACTTTGAAATTCAGGGTCCATCATTGGATAAACAAGACGACTGTTACAAGAACAGGTGATTAGGCAATAACAAAATATGGCACATGAACATGATGATATAGCAAGTTCACTAAGTAGCCCAACAACAACCTTTTTCCTTTATAAACAATAAACCCTAATGGTTTACAGAATCGGTTAAATCACATAATAAATCAGCTATAATAATCAGATATCAAACTCATCATTTATATAACTCGAACTTAACACCTACCGCATCAAACTTTTCATTTGACAAGCTAAATTGTAGTGCTTTTTGAATTGATCACATACGTAACAGTTTTGAGAATAAAAAAATTATCATATGTATAACAAAATATTGATTTAGGACGGACAAATAGACAATAGTCTATAGTCAAAGCATAAATAAAACAGTTTAATTTGCTAATTCCAGAGTATAAATTATACTTTAGAACCAGAGCTTATGCATGCTTGCACAAGTGAGAAATTGACCAGCCAACACCCCATGCACATATAAAGATTTCAAATCAAAACACGTAAACCTTGCATACCTGGACAAGACGACATGATGAATTTTTATATTTGCCCAATGGATAAGATCTGCTCACTGTAAAACTTCATATGGGTTCGATATACTTTTATCTAGAATGCATGGTCCAGCGTTCAGTGCGGGTTGAAACATATGGTTACCGGTTGGATGATCAAACTTCAAGACAGAATAGATTGAAGCACTTCTATGGACTGTTGCTCCTTGGACAATAAACTATTGTGGAGTTCTTACTATTGTGGTGTTAGCAGTGTGCATAAGGGCCTCAGTTTTGTATAAGTTTCAAGTTACTAGAATTATGCTAACTCACGGTTGCTAGAAACCCTACCGATAAAGCCCATGAAAATGTATTCCACATAAGAACCCCTTAACCAACAGCAAGGAATACGGATTTCGCTTTTCTTTTTGGCACAAGGAATAGCTAACTAATTAAAACTCTAACCCTAATTCAAATCAATTATAACTATGTAATTCAATTAGAGTTGAACTTTATTATTTGACTCCAACAATCTTTTGGCATTTATATTTTGGCTAGCTAGTTAGTCATAACATGCAAGGTGAGAAATGACGATGGAGGAAAGTAACATATAAAAAGGATAATAAGACAGCTCTTATAGTTTCAAGGATTATTAAGTAGATTCAAACATTGCAGCAGTTCAAAAAATGAACAAGCGACGTTGCTTTATATAATGTTTTTTATTACAAGCCACGTTGCTTTAAACTAAGGGTTCTTTGGATATAGACCCTTCAAACTCCTATTTTCCAAGTAAAAACCCATCTAAATTTAAACATTCAAATAAAATCCAAATTTCAAATAGCCTACCATGTAGACAAATATATGACCAACTATTACAATACAATTACAACTTATGCCATAGAATCCTAATTTGGTCAACAAATGTTATTACTCATCCTAATTATGATGAGCAATTAAATCCATATGGATATTTTACCTTTCTTGTATCATAAATATTAGCAACATATATAAATTAATTTACCAAATTTAAAAGAGAAAGACAATCTTGTACGGAAAAAATAATATTGTTTGAATTATGTAATTACCTACATACAAATTAATTTATCTACTTATAAAATATTATACTAATAAACCTGCATTTTGAATCATGTAATTACCTACATACAAATATTATACTAATTTACCTACATTTAAATTAATTTACCTACTTATAAAATATTATACTAATTTACCTACATTTAAATTAATTTACCTACTTATTAATATTATACTAATTTACCTACATTTAAATTAATTTACCTATTCCAAAATAAATAAATAAATAGTGATATTAGATAATGTTCGAATGTTGTGGGTTTGTGCTTGTAGGCAATTAAATAAACTTTTAATCTAATGCACATAAATCATGTAGGTAAATTAGATCGTTTTGAAAGTAAACTAGACCCTTTAAATTTTGGTTTGATGTAATAGGTATAGACTATTTTGTAGGTAAGAATTGTGCGGAACATATAGCTTTTGTTTTGTGTATTAGGGATTGGAATATTAGCCGAAGCTGTTTTAGGTTTATTGTTGTGTTGGTAGGTAAATTAACTTATGTATGTAATGCACAAAATTATGAAATTAGTATTATTATTTTTCAATTGGCACGTTATAACAATTTGAAAGTTAATACATTGAATATACAATGAATGGCATGAATTATTTTGTAAAATATATAAAATTAATTAAATGGATATAACAAGTAACTGATCCAAAAACCTCATCCAAGTATTAATAGGGGTAGTTTAGGCATTCGAAAAATACACAATTTGAAAAGTCAAACTTAATTAGAGAATTTGTTTAGTTGGAGGCTAATCAATGGGCTTTATTCAAGAAAACAAAAGAAGATGGGTTTTAGTAGAGGAAAATTGTGACATCCCACATCGCCCAGGGGAGTGATCCTTAAATGTATATTCTCATCCTTACCTAGCACGAGGCCTTTTGGGAGCTCACTGGCTTCGGGTTCCGTAGGAACTCCGAAGTTAAGCGAGAAGGGGGCTAGAGCACTCCCAGGATGGGTGACCCTCTGGGAAGTTGCTCATGAGTTCCCAAAAACAAAATCGTGAGGGAATGGTAAGCCCAAAGTGGACAATATCGTGCTACGGTGGTGGAGCGGGCCTGGGAAGTGGTCCCACCTGGGCCGGGATGTGACATTGGTATCAGAGCCTATCCCTGGCCGGAAATGTGCCGACGAGGACGTCGGGCCCCTAAGGGGGGTGGATTGTGACATCCCACATCGCCCAGGGGAGTGATCCTCAAATGTATATTCCCATCCTTATCTAGCACGAGGCCTTTTGGGAGCTCACTGGCTTCGGGTTCCGTAGGAACTCCGAAGTTAAGCGAGAAGGGGGCTAGAGCACTCCCAGGATGGGTGACCCTCTGGGAAGTTGCTCGTGAGTTCCCAAAAACAAAACCGTGAGGGAATGGTAAGCCCAAAGCGGACAATATCGTGCTACGGTGGTGGAGCGGGCCTGGGAAGTGGTCCCACCCGGGCCGGGATGTGACAAAAATATAGTTTCAAGGGGTAATATCAAATTTTCAGTTAAAGGCTAATTACAAAGAATTTAAGCCTACGCAAATGGTTAAGGAATGACTATTCACCGGGACAATCCGACACTTAACTAAAAAGAAAAACCTCTAGTCCAAACCGTTCCCAATACAATTGAGTAGAAAAACATTTCCAGCATTAATGGGTAAAAGCCTATGCCAAAGCATTTCCAACAGTTTCGGTTAGGTATAGCCATGGCAGAAGGAACAACAAAAGCCGTACGAGAGAAACAAGACGATCGACATGAAAATGAAGACCATACATTTATTTTAATAGAGATGATCATACATTTATATATATATATATATATATATATAAACAAGACGACGTGAACATGATGATCATACATTTATTTTAATAGAGATGATCATACATTTTATATATAATCTCGCGTAGTTCTACGGATACATTTGCCTTTTACAGGGAATAACAACGCTCAGCCTGCAAGAGGATTGAGTACGTGCCCGATGAAAAGCACAGTTCCGGTCAATTCTTCCTTGATCAAGAAGAGAAATGGACGATCAGCCACAAAGTCAACCGTCCTTGGCACTTCCAGGCACAAAAACTTAATAACCCCGGCAGTCGCAGCTGCAGCTTCTGTGCCTTCTTCGTTCACTTCGATGAACGACTTATGGAATATGCTGGAAACGTACAAGTTCTTACCCTCGGGCGAATCCACCATCTCCGTCAAACCTCCTTCACCACCGAATGGCAGCACCAGTCCCAGACCTTTAAGGACATTGGAAGCTTCAAACCCAAATGAGATCTTAAACTTTGGAATTCTGAAATCACCCACTGCAGATTTTTGCTTGGGAAGATGGCGATCCAAAAACCCGGACTCAGAACCAAGTTTCTGAACCAAAGCTGGGAGCCCATATTTCGCCTCGGGAAGAAAGATGTACATGGAGAAACACCGCTTGTCTTCACCTTGCTTGTAATGAAGCCCTAAGACTGAGAAACCATTGAAGGAACTTACATACTGTTTCTTCCTGCTGGTCATGAATGGCACCTGAACTGTGCTCCCATCGAGAAGGTGGAAGTCATGCTCTTTAGTTTGTGATGCATCAAACTTTTCAGTCCAAGCTCCTTTGAAGTATAATGCATTTGCAAAGATGAGCCTGGTTGAGCTGTCAACTGACCCAGGAGGAAGTACCTCCTTGATAAGGCCTCTCGTCTCCTTTTCAGCCCATGAATTCACTCCCGAGGCCACTTGAGCAGCCTCGAGCACCAACAACAGTTACGACAAGTTAGAAAACAATGATATATCAGCCGTACTATAACAAAAATCTACGAATTACGATATGATTCTGTAATAGCTAAGCTATGCAGAAGAACAAGCACAAACATTAATGATTAGAGAAAGGAAGTTTTTAGTTGAAATGCTAGAAGTAAAAGAGCATCAGCAGGCCTACGATTTTGGTTCAACAAGGGAACAAGCATCTCACATCGAAAAAAATTGAAGACTTTGATCAAGAGCATCGTCGAAAAAAACAATCGAAACGACAGGACAGACGGTTTGGGAGCTTACATTGGTCTGAAAATTGACTTGGGCAAGAGCAGCCATGTAAGAGGTGTCCACCACCTGCTTAAAAGAAGGCTTCAGAGGGAGACACCTGTCCACCCATACTCCACTCGCAAACGAGAGATGGGGGCCGCCGCTAGGAGACCCATCGGAGAAGATCATGGACACGAGCTCGGCGGCGAAGGAGTTGAGGTGGTCAGTGGACTTTGATTTGAGAAAAGACAGCAGCTGGTCCTGAGTCGGACCCTTTGACCCGGCCGCAATCAGGCTCAACAGCACGTGGATGGACAGCGGCGAGTACACGAGGGTCGATTGCTTGCCTTCGGTCTGAAGCAGCTGCTTCGTCAGCCCCAGAGCGAAGTCGTTTTGGTTGATGACGCTTTCTCTCAGATCCATTTCTGCTGTGCTTAACTTTTCTCCGGTCGGATGATATTTTGGTTGCGAGAAGATTGTTCGGCTTTTTGTTTCAGGCTTATACGAGACGTAAGGACTAAGGTTTCGGAAAAGCCGTCCGTGGTCGGTTGCAGGTTCAAACGAATCAGCGCGAAGCCAAGTAGGGAAGAAGACAAAAGAGGGAGCATTGGGAAGTACGCTAACGTTGGCCCAATTATCACTTAGAGAAAATTTTCATTGTCACCCGATGACAAGCGGTAAAATCACGTATTTTTATATAAGTGGTAGTAAATTTTATTTTTAAAGTTATTAACTTTTTAACACACATATCTCATCATTTTTATCTGGACACTTGGTATACCACCCCATGTTCATGTCACATTGAAAAATCTCTCTATCACATATTCTCGCAAGTCAGAATCACATCGTTTTGGGTAGGGTGGGCTTAAAAAACCGAAAAAACATCGAGCGGAATACAGAATCAAAGCAAAGAAAAGACTGAACCAAACCAAAATTAAACCGAATCAAACAAAAACCTAAAAATATTAAACCGAACCGAAATTTTGGTTTAGTTTGGGTTTTGACAAGAAATTGAACAGATTGAAACCGACCCCACCTCTAATTTTGGGCTTGGGCAAGTAAGAAGTACGCTAACATTGGGCCTTATTTTGATTATACACATCATGTGGTGAACTACATCCTGGGCTTATTACAATTAGACCATAAAAGGCGTCATACTGGGTTTATGTTTCAAATTTTAATGTTAATGGCATATATATATATATATATATGAGAATTCAAATCATTGTTGTTTTAATACAAATGAAATCCGTCTAGGTGTGGACAACTCCTGCCTGAAAGCTTATGAGTTTATATCTGAAAATTAAGAATTATATAAACTAGGTGGCTAGTTGAACAGATTTGTTTTGCTTATTCCCTTGCTCCAACGGTTTATTTATCTTTACTTGAAGTAAACATGTCTTAAATATTGACTAATTGGGTTTTATATTGTTCTTTATTACAAGTGACATTGCTTTAAACTAGACTACGAGGAGGAAGAGGATTTCAAACGCAAATGGTTGGAAAGTAACTTAATTAAATAGAGAAACCTCCAGTTCAATTGTTCCAAATACAATTGACGAGAAAAGCATTTCTAGCAGTAATGGGTGAAGATCCTATCCCAAATACATTAGTTTCATGTAGCCGTGACAAAGTAATTTCCTCTCCTTTATCTCTTGTATTGTACGTAAGGTAAATTTAGCTCAGATAACTTTGAAATTCAAGATCCATCCCTAGATAAACAAGATGATTGTTACAAGAACATGTGATTAGCAATAACAAAGTATGGCACATGAACATGATGATATAGCAAATTGACTAAATAGCCCAACGGCAAACCTTTTTTTTTTTTTCTTTATAAACAAAAAATCCTAATGGTTAGCGGATTCGGTTAAGTCACATAGTAAATCAGCTATAATAATTAGATATCGAACTCATCATTTGTATAACTCGAACTTAGCACCTACCACATCAAACTTTCCATTTGACAAGCTAAATTGTAGTGCTTTTTGAATTGATCACATTCGTAACAGTTTTGAGCAGAAAAAAGAAAATACTGAAAATATGTCTTTAGGCCTTGAAACTCAAGTTTCTTTATATAAAACTCAACATAATCTTTTTATCTGAATAAAACCCAATGACCAGCCTCCACATAAGCAAATTCATTAATTTTGTTTGCCTTTACACATTTTGCATTTTTCAGATGCCTAAAATACCCCTAATTACAGTTTTAATGTAGATATTTAATTCTATGCAGATTTGAAGAGAGAGATTAATGGAAAAAAAATGTTTAATGTTTAAAATCATTGCATATTAATACATCATAACAAATTGTATGTTAAGGCAAAAAAGAACTAATAATGTTATACTTTCCTTAAGATTTCGTAATTGTTTTTCAAATTTGCATAAAATTATACAAATTTAATTTAATCTTGTCATTTTCTTACCAAATGAAAATCTGAAAGAGCACCATAAAATAATTTACCTATATTTAAAAAACATAGGTAAATTATTTGGACATGTGTATTAGTAATAAATTTGCCATGTATATGTAATGATACATGCAAAATAATTTACCTGTAAAATAAAAAATGTTATTTGATTCAAAATAAATTTATTTATATTTTATATAATAATATAGGTAAATTATTGTACATATATATATATATATATATATTAGTAGTAAACTGTGCCCAAAATATATAATAATGCATGAAAATAATTCATCTACAAATAAAGGAAATTTGATTAAAAAATAATGTATCTACTACTTTTTGTTTATGAATTTCAATTTCCTTTTTTTTATTACAAACATAATGTACCTACAATATAATTTACCTATTGTTTAATCTTATAAGAAAATAATGTATCTACTATTTTATTTTTATTTTTTTTGTTGAATATCTACTGTTTTATTTTAATGAAGATAATTTGTCTTGGTTTAATTTTTACGAAATAATTTAGGCACTGTTTAACTTTACGAAAATAATGGAACTACTATTTTAATTTATCTACAAAATAAATGCTATTTGATTCAAAATTAATTTACTTATATTTTACATATAAATGTAGATAAATTATTTTAAACACGCATATATAATAATAAACAAAAAATGCCTAATGTATGTAATAATCTAGGTAAGATAATTTACCTACAACATAAAAGAATATTAATTGGTTCTTTGTTGTTTTTATCAAACAATATTATTTGATGCAAAATAGCTGATTGTACAAAGGATTTTTTTTTTCCATACGAAAAATGTGCCCATAATTGTTTATGAACATGGCTAAATTAATATATATATATATATATGTTCCTAATGTGATATCCCGTCCCGAAAATATCGAAACGTACATGTGAAATGACCATTTTGCCCCTAGTTAGTTTGTTTGTGTTATTGGTGGTTTGTGTGCCTTGTTGGCATGTTTGGGGCCACCCACACACTTTCACCTTCACTGTCTCTCTCAATCTCTTCCCCTGTCTCTCTCTCTCTCCCTCTCCCGTGCTCTCTTTCCCCTTCCTTTTCACCATATATGTACGGACCACACTCAAAACCCCTCAAATCGTTGCAAATCAAGGAAACCAAAGGTGCAGTCGTGATCGTGAGGTCGAGGGGAACACTGACGTACCATTTTCAGGTAGGGAAACCACCATTTTCACGTCGATTCGAGGTTTTCCGATTTGTGCACTATTCATGCAAACTCATTCTTGCATGTTTTTGTAATTTTTAAGCTTGTAGATGTCCTTGTGAGGTTCCCAGGAGCTTGGGAGTATAACGTTGGACGAGTTTGGACGTAGGGAAAGCCTGGTTCGAGTTGGCCGGTCATGGAGTTTTTGGACAGGTGAATTCTCGTAGATTTTAGCCTTTAAAACTTGGTTAGACGTGTTCTACTAGTTCTAAGGGTTAAAATGGTGTAAAAATCATGAAAAACGGTTGAAAAACGAACGAGAAATCACGATTTACAGGTTTTCTGGCGACGGCCCCGGAGAAATGATCGGAGAAGGAGACGGAATATTCCGTCAGAATTGACGGAATATTCCTGACGCCGTTAACGGAATCTGTCAACTTTGACGGAATATTCCTAATGGCGTCAGTTGACGCCGTCAGTGTGCCAGGCACGTGCCTGCGCGTGGCCGGCGCGTGCGGCGGTGAAAAATTTTTCTAAAAATTCCGGTGTGTTCCTGAGGTTGTGTAGAGCACGTTGGTATATTCATTTGTCCATTTTGAGCAATGTATGAGAAGTTATTTTGAACGGATGGTTATGCGCTTTAAAATTAACGTTTTTATAGTATTTTCGCATATAGGTGACACGTATCCCGAGGACGAGCGTGCTCAAGCGAGGCAGAGGGGCTACGACCCTTCCATATACCAGTGAGTGGGCTTTTGTTTTCCGTATATACCTATATACATTTATTTCCCAGAAATTTACGTATATGTTTATTAGTTTATGCCATTCCGTTATTGTTATTGGTTATTAGGCATGGTTAGTTGCACATATGGTTATCGTATATATATTCATTTATACGGTTATATATATATATTGGTGCTGTGAAGGCACAGGTAAGTGCCAGGTAAGTGTTATTTAACATTTGCATTAAATAGTGGTTAGAGATGATTAGAGAGCTCATAACCTGCACCCCCGGTGTTAGTGCTCCCGCCCAGAGTAGGGCACAGTCCTTCACGTGTTGTTCACCTCCCGCACCACACACTCAGCTTGGATCCAAGTTAGGTGCACAGTCTTGTCGTACAGACCACTTAGGGTGGTTCCGACTCGTAGGTGACCCGCGATTATTCGCACAGCCTTCACGTGATCGTAGCACTAGAGCGTTTATATGTATTACACCCAGGCCTGTCGTACAGACCACTTTAGGTGGTTCCAACTCGTAGGTGACCCGCGATTATTCGCACAGCCTTCACGTGATCGTAGCACTAGAGCGTTTATATGTATTACACCCAGGCCTGTCGTACAGACCACTTTAGGTGGTTCCAACTCGTGGGCAGGTTTAGTTATTGAGTTTGAGATTTGAGCTCTAGATGCAGCCGAACAGGTCACGTAGGATGACTCCGGCTGCCAGATTATATGTTATTGATGTGATTTATTCCTGAGCACTTGCATTTCAGGCAAAGGTTCCGATATGGCATATATTTGAGCATGATTGGCATATTTATACCTACGTACATATGTTTATTTTCTGGGAAGTATACAGGTTTTACGGCGAGGGGTTAGAATATTGTTTTTGAAATGGTTTTCGAAAAGCTTTGTTTTTGCCCACTCACACTTTTGTTTTACGCCCCTCCAGGTTTTAGCTAGCTAGCAGGTTCAGTGGCTTCCCAGAGGACTTCCCGGCGCTTCTGATAGACTCGAACCAATGTAGGGTCACTTCGGGTGCACTGTTATCGTATTATGTTAATTTGGACTGATGTAAACTTAATGCTCTGACTTAGCGGTTCACTCGCACTAGCACTATTTACTTTGACTCTTGTAAGCTAGATTTTAAATTATTCGTACTTTTATATTACTATCTTACTAGCTTCCGCACT